AAGAACTTTCGTCTTGATAGGTATATCGTATCCAATAATCTCAACTCTTGCTCTACTCTCTCTTGGTATTAGGGGCAGGGGAGGATGTAGCCTCAGGGTCTCCTTGATTATAGAGTTTAGATACTTCAACTCATGAATGCTTGTTTCATCTACAGTCCCTTTGTTCTTGTATACTTGTCTTACCTCATTTTGTGCCTTTTCTAATATTCTTGGATTTTTCAGCATTTCAGACATTGCCCACTCCACTGTTGTTGATGATGTCTCACTTCCAGCGCTAAACATGTCCTGAAAATTGTGGATGTTATGTTGGCATGTCTGAGAAATTGTGGATGCTTTATGTATCTAGATATATAGTTTGTCCTGGCTGGATCAAACCACAAGAAAAAACAAGCTTTTCTTTGAAAAAATGATTAAATAACTACAAAAAAAAAAAAAAAAAAAAAAAAAAAAAAAAAAAAAAAAAAAAAAAAAAACAAAAAAAAAAAAAAAAAAAAAAAAAAAAAAACTCAACTTTTAATGCTTTTTATAATTTCAACAAATTTTTTTTTTAATTTTATCAATCAATATCTTGTAATTTATTTTTTATACCAATTGAGAACTTTTATAATTACCATCCAAATTCATCTCATACACTGATAAAACTGACAGTATGAACCTCACACATGTCACATTAGCACCAATTAGAAAATTCACTAACAGCTCTGAAAAAACATAATTTAGCTGGTTGAATTTAGATTACAATCATGCAGAAGTCACAACTGTTATTAAAAAAAAAAAGATACAACATATTACTAAATAACATTAAAATAATTAGTCAAAATTATAAAAAGTCTTAAAAGTTGAGAAATTTTTTTATAATTTGGCTAAAAAAACATTATATAAGATTACCCAAAAAAGATATAAATACAGATCAAAGAGGAAAATAATTAATTAAATTATATACATACTAACCAAGATTACTGTCTTAATGTTGTCATCGGAAAGAGGAAATTCAAGATCACCATGTTCTTGAAGCTTGAGAAGAACATCCACCAAGTCATCATCTTCTTCTATTTCCTCACTTCTATTCATCTTGTTCCTATGCTCTTTCACTATCCTCTCGAGAATCCCATCTGCTTTTTCATGCAGTTTTCCTAGTTTAGGCCTAAGCCCACTTGCCTGTTCAAGAAATTTAATGGAAGGATACAAATCTGCAACACTAAAACCAGCTGCAATCTTTGAAACTTCTGTAATAACTTGTATAAAAGTTTCTTGATCTTCATATTTTTTTCCAAAAGCAGCTCTCGATGTAATCCCATACGTTAATGAAAAAATCATTTCACTAATATTGATTAGTGACCCTTCAAGAGATGATATGGTTTTTATTAGGTTCAAAACCTCGTCTTCTCTAATAAACCGAAAGGATTGAACTCGCTTTGGACTTAAAAGCTCCATTGTACAAATCTTCCGCAGCTGTCTCCAATAAGCACCGTATGGAGAAAAAACAATATTTGTAGAATCATAAGAGATTATTTTAGGAGCAAGGTTAGGAGGTCTTTCTGCAAAATCTAAATCATGAGTTTTCAGGACTTGTTTGGCAATTTCAGGCGAAGAAACTATTACAGTGGAAACTTCACCGAGTTTTAAATGCATCAACGGTCCATATTTTCCGGATAATTTTTGAAGGGATTGATGAGGTAATGAACCTAAAAGTTGGTGAACATTTCCAATAATGGGCAATTTCCATGGCCCTGGTGGTAGATTTGTGGTTGAGGGCTTAGTAGCTCTTTTTTTTATTGCCTTGAAGAAGAAGATGATGAAGAAAAATAAAGCAAAGAGAGAGTGTAAAGAGTTGAAATGAAACTCTTCCATGAGTGGATGAAGAGTTTGATATAATGTTATTATTTGCTTAATTGTTAGTGCAAGTTCCTCTTCTATATATAAAGGAAGGGGAAAAAAAATATCAGTCTATCTATGTCTCAAATCAACCGTATGTTTAGATTAGAACTTCCAACAGCCAAAGCTACATAGACGATTATTAATTTGAACCCACTAACAACAGGTTCCACATCCTTTGACAACGGAGTTGCCCAAGCCATCCAATAGTTGCTACCAATTTGGAGGACCTGAAAGAGAATCTGTGCCAGCAAAAAAAAGGGCACCACGGCTCCTCCATATGCAGTTGTCAGATATTTCCAGTATACATGGAATCCAACTTTACCTTTTTCTCTCTCTTCTTCTTGAACAAGCTGTCGTTTGGGCTCAGCTATCACTCCAGCTTTACCATTTTGTACATCTTTATTTTCTTCTTTCGATAGAACTCCATTGGTAATGCTCATGCCATCAACATCCTGGCTGATACTTTCATTTCCAGAAGTCAACCCTGCCTGTTTGGAATCAAGTACAGATAAAGCTGTCTTATGTGCACTAACAAGTTCCATAAAATCAGACCCTGAATTGAGAATGTCATCGTACTTTCTAAATAGGTATCCTTCCATCTTTCATGACCTAACCAGAAAGTTCAAGTTAAATCCAGTTATTCCATTAGTTGAGATATGAATCCCAGAAGCATTGAAGAATAAAAATGTAATCACTAATCACTCACCAATATTAAATCTGCAGCTGGTAAGAACTCAACTTGATGAGTAACATAAATAACAGTTTTCGAACTCAATAGGCCAAGCAAAACCTCCTATAATGAATGATCAAAAAAATATACTTTATGAAAAGTGCCTTTCTTTAGCCATGCGTAAAAAGGAATAGAAAAATAGCACAAAGAACGTAACTAGAAACAAATTGTGGCCTGCACCATGTCCAGTGGAATTGGTAAGGAGAATCATTCACCTTAGGAGAATCATTCACCTTAAACAGATGAGATCCTGTATGTGCATCAACAGCACTAAAAGGATCATCGAATAGAAAGATATCAGCATCTCGGTAGAGAGCTCACGCAATATGTATTCTCTGTTTTTGTCCACCACTCAGATTGATACCCCTTTCATCTATAAGTGTTTGGTCACCAAATGACAGGATTTCCAGGTCATTCTTCAGGGAACATGCCTCCAAAATCCTTTCGTACCTTTCTCTGTCCATTGATTTCCAAATAATATGTTCTCTTCAATCTTGCCACTCTGTATCCATGTTGATTGAGCAACATAGGCCTTTTCCCCAAATAGCTTAAAGTGTCCTAGAGATCTTGGGTACCTCTCCCAAAATGCAGGAGAGTAAGCTCGATTTGGAGAAGATAAGTCCCAAGAGAAATTCCCATCATCTAGTTCTACTGCTGTGTCATAACTATCCCTTGGAATCCTCTCTACAACATCAGACTACAAGTCATCAAGACATAGGAAAGATGCAATTCTATCAACGGAAACCCTGGTCTCAACCATCGTAGAAATTGTGTCAGGAAGATTAAAGATTAGCTACTGAAGAATCCGGAATGTTGCAAGTGCAGATAAGATCTTTCCAGACTCGAGTGGGATTCCCATAAGGACACAAGTGCCAAAAGTAGCCATAGACACGAGAGTAGGAGCACCCTAGGAGACAAAACTGACAATTGCTGTAGTATAGTTAACTATCTTCGACCATCCTGTTTCAGTGTTTCGGAGCTCAATAATCTTAGACAAAAACTTCATTTCCCATGCCTGCAGCTTTAGGATTCTCATATTCCTTAAAATATCAGACATTGCTTTCATTCTTTTGTCTTTAGATTCCATCAACTTGTCCTGAAATTTCTCCTCTAATCTTCTTAATCGATAGTTCAACAACATGACAATAACAGTTGCAACAAAAGCTGCAATTGATGCAAGCCCAAGATTTTTGTACAATATGAATAAGGCCAAACTAACTTGGATGATGACCAGCCAAATCATGCATGAACCAGCAAAATGTTGCAATTCGCTTGGTATCAACAGTCATCAGATTGATGCTATCCCCACTAGTGCGGCCCTGCTTTGACTGGCATGAAAGGGTCAAACCCCTGTTGTAGATCATAGCCATAATTGATGAACGCATCCTAATTACAATTTGTCGCAACCTAAAGTTCAAGTGCCTCTCTGAGAGGCACTGTACAACCATTCCAATTAAAAAGGCAGAAGCCAAAACATATCCCTGATTTTTTAACTGCCCTCGCCCATTAAGGCATTGAACAAATTCATCTATGAGGTATGGACCGGCATAAGAAGCCATTGTGTTTAACAGTGAAAGAAAAGCTGTATACAGAATCTCTTTCCAAGCTAAGAAGAAAAATGCCTTGACAATCTTAAATGGAGTAACTCCACTAGTAGTACCACTATATGACTCGAGTTTATTTTGGAAAACTGAAAATGACCCAGTTACACTATCCACACTATGAAGTTGAGGAACATCTTCAAGGTCTATAGTTTTCTTATTACCAACAGCAATTAGGGAATCCATCCAAGAGAAGGTAAAAAAGCTGAAAATGCATTTAATAAGGAGTAACAAAATCACCTTCCCTCGATTTATTTAATTCTAAATCATTACCACTTAATTTATCATTCAATAGAGGTTCTTCAAAATGGGTAAATTCACCCTTAATTTCCAAGAACCCCACGTAACAACGAAACAAACCGGCGGAAACAGAGACTGCATCTGATACTAAATACCGAACTTGGAAGGACACATGTTCATGTTTCTAGAAAGAACAATGTCCACAGAAAGACAACAAGAAGAAATTAAAAAATAAGAGGCCCACCAAACTCTCAATGGAAATGGGTACTTAATATCAGGTGAATTAAAAAATTGGATATGCAAATAGACAGAAAGTGCACCCCAAGAGAGTGTTCTAACCGCTATTAAAAAATAAGAGGCCCACCAAACTCTCAGTGGAAATGGGTACTTAATATCAGGTGAATTAAAAAATTGGATATGCAAATAGACAGAAAGTGCACCCCAAGAAAGTGTTCTAACCGCTAAATCCAAAAGCATAACTACATCATAATCAGACCAACCACTTCTATGACAATAGAAGTAGCTCAACAAACACCAGACTAAATCGAACACAGAAACACTCAAACAACAGGTTAGAGTGAGTTTGTAACACAATTCCCTCTTGTTATTATCAAGCTTCTTTTTCGTATCTTCACTATCACCAATCCTAAGTTTCTTAAAGACAAAAGGGACTAATAACGCAAAACCAGAAAACCCGTGAAGGAAAATGGGCGTGAGGAGAAAATCACTACTTGAATATAATACTGAAGGTGAGTTAGAAAGAAAAGATACCATCTACTCCTTATTGAATCAGCAAGTTCTAATTTCTGAGAGGTTTTTTCGAGGTTTTAGCTAAATAGGTGTTTGCTGGAAAGACTTTAAGAAACAAAAACAATTTAAAAAAAAAACTGTTGGTCTTTTTACTGGAAAAATGCACAGAATTTTCCCACAAAATTTGTCTTTTCTTTCTTCAGTTCTTGCTGTTATTGAACACTTCTCTAATCTATTACTTTCCTGCCTTTTTTTTTTTTTTCTTTTGGCAGTCTCTGGGAAATGAAGAAGGCGCAAGCGCTGGTGGACGACTGCTCTCTGTAATTATATGGAAACTGTAAAGGTAGCAAAATTTACAAATCGCTTTCTCTCTGTATCTTTCTTTATAGGATTCTCTCTTAATCTGTTCGAACGTATAAGAATTATAACCATTATAACCGGAATGTCAGGCACTTTTTTTAGGAAATGATTGTCAGCGTTTTCTTAGTAATCAGAATTATGGAAATCGTGCAACTTGTGTTTAGAAATGAAATCGTAGTTAAATTTCACTCTGGTCAACAACAGAGGAAATTGGGAGGAGCAAGAAAAATGAAAATCCATATATACAAGAGAAGTGATAGAAAGGGGAAATGAATTAGGGATTTTTTTTTTTTTTTTAGAATAATAAAAAGCATCGTTTTTATTTTATTTTGGAAATTAGGGATAGAAGCAAATTGAAGTATGCTCTTTTGCAGTCTCTGGGAAATGAAGAAGGCGCAAGGCGCTGGTGGACGACTGCTCTCTGTATTATATGGAAACCGTTAAAGGAGCAGAAATTACAAATCGCTCTCTCTGTATTTTCCTTTTATAGGATTCTCTCTAATCTGTCGACGTATAAGAATTATAACCATTATAACCGGAATGTCAGCACTTTTTTCAGGGTTAGGAGTAACAAAGTTGAGAATTGATGATGCTCAACAATGGTTTATGAAGAATTGCTATTTATTCGGTTAGCTTCTCAAAACTGGAGTTTGATCTTGCTGAATATTCTGCTACAAGTTGTGCAAACGACGATGCCTTGTTTTCTAATAACCGAGTCGGAGAGTCATATTCCTCGATGAGCCCTGCACAATTATTACCAAATATGAAAGAAACTATAGACCATTGCGAAACTTCATAATTTAAAATTACAGATTAAATTTTAATAATTACTTACCATTACTAAAGCAGAACCATGTCCACCTATTCAAGAAACAGAAGTTATTCGATGTGCAATGGTTATAACTGTTACAGTCAGAGAAGTGTTGCCTAATGAGCTTTGCTGAATTAAAAAATATTAATCAGTAGCTGTATCAACCGAGGCATTAGCTTCAGTCACAGAACAAGACCCTTATCCTCCTTGGTAGCAACTCGCCCGAGGCAGACTAGCTGCCTTTGACCATACCCAGCTTCACTCCATTCTCAGTGGACTGCTAGCACCAGTATGATTATTCACAAAGCGTAAATCTATGCCAGAAAGTTAAAAGATGTCGGCATTCAACTAACATTGGTATTTCAACTAACATGGTATAATAAGAATAACATACCTGTTGAATCTAGCTTTTCCTCCTTCTTCCTAACCTCATCTCCAAGTTGGCACTTATCAAGAGCCTGGAACAATTCAATATATTTTAGCATGCATGTCCTTAGAAATTATTTGATTTCGAAACAAAATATCAAATAAAGAATCTTTTTATTAATATTTAGAATTGAAACAACCTACCTCCCAAATTTGATCATCTGTGTACTCTTCAAGAGGGTCCAGGTTACTCCGTACAGTCCCTTCGAACATGGTAGGATCCTGAGGAATAATGCTTATTCTTGATCGCAAGTCATGCAAACCAATCAATGAGATATTGATGCCATCTATCACAATCTGACCAGCTGCAGGTTCAACAATCCGGAAAATTGTTTGGATGAGAGTTGATTTACCACTGCCTGTTCTCCCCACAATACCAGTTTTCTTCCCTCCTGGGAAAGTACATGTGAGACCTTGCAACACGAGTGGCATATGAAACACGAGTGGCATATGAGGGGTATACCGAACCTATATTAAATCACTTACATTAATATCATATGCCGTACATGATTCAGAATCATCAATTGAATTAATCAAGTTCCATTACCTGCAAATTACAAATATCTACTTCTCCATGTGATGGCCAAGAAGGGTCTGGCCGGTTTTCATCTACTACAAGAGGAGGCTCACTAGGAGTAGACATGTATTGGAGTATTCTCTCTACTGATATGATTTTATTTTCTAGATTGCAAATATTCCATATCACCGTAGCTTGCAGCGCGTTTAGATTGAGTCCATATGTCACAGCTAAACCGGCAATGGCTTTGAAAATGGAAAAACAAAAGGAAAATGTGAATTTCAAGCTCATCAAATTTTCTCAAAGAGAAGAATGATGAATAGCTATATGAGACAGGAGCTACAAACCTGGATTAATTCCCTCCGGAAAAGAGATTAAGAAAAACAAAGAGAAACATATCCAAGCGGAAGCAAAGCCATTCTGTTGCCCCAGCACTATGAAAATCCGGCCGAAAATATGCATCCGTCAATGTCATATTCATTTCTTGGAATCTTGATTGTTGACCGCATCAGTCAGGTTCATATTTGTTTCTTGGAATCTTGATTGGTGATCAAAGCTTCTGACAGTTGTCGATCCTGAAATTGTTTCGGCGAAATGTTGGATAACTGGGGCTTTACACACTCCAACCAATCGTGAAAGCTCTCTTGCAGATGGGAGATAGTATTGCTGCAAAACAAAAAAATTGTGAGGACTCTGTCTCTGAATGGTAAATGATGATAGTCAATATTCATAAAAAGTTGAAAGTTTAACTACATTGAATTGTATACAACTAAGACTTATTGTGTTCTCTAATTTCTTTATTTTAAGCATATTAAAGGAAATTTTAAATGGGAATAACCAGACAATAAAAAGCGATGGTGTTTTAAGAGATAATGACGATTACCTGGTACCAGATGCAGGCAGCGATTGCAGGGATAAAGATAATAAAAACTTGCCAAGCTACCTGAGACATCACTGCAATGGTTCCCAGAAGCCGGATCATTGAGAATGCAACAGATGCAACTTGATTTGGAATTTGCATATCCACTGCACTTTGGTCTGTAGAAGCCTATTAGCAGGCATCACGGCAGAGGAATTATTAAACATATAAGCTAGTGTTTTAAGAGGTACTGAGTATTACCTGGTACCAGATGCAGGCAGCAATTGCAGGGATAAAGACAATAAAAACTTGCCAAGCTACCTGAGACATTACAGCAATGATTCCCAAAAGCTGGATCATTGAAATTGCAACAGAACCCACTTGATATGGAATTTGCAAATCGACTGCGCTTTGGTCTGTAGAAGCCTATTAGGGCAAAAACAAATCAACTGAGACCTATATTTTTCTGGTTTAATTGAAATTAAAGGACATAAAGATGGATGAAAAAAAAAAACTAGAATTGTGGATAAAGTCTTCAAATTTAATTAATTGAAGAGAATATATGAAAAAATTTTCTTACTCTGTTTAGGATTCGCCCACTCGGAGTTGCATCAAAGAAGGACATGGGAGCACGGAAAATGCAAAAATGCATTTTATTAAATAGCATAGTTGCTGTCTTGGTACCCAGCTGTTACAAAAACTGGTCCGCTCTGGCAAGGATGGCACAGAACTTCCAACAGCCAAAGCTACATAGACGATTATTAATTTGAACCCACTAACAACAGGTTCCACATCCTTTGACAACGGAGTTGCCCAAGCCATCCAATAGTTGCTACCAATTTGGAGGACCTGAAAGAGAATCTGTGCCAGCAAAAAAAAGGGCACCACGGCTCCTCCATATGCAGTTGTCAGATATTTCCAGTATACATGGAATCCAACTTTACCTTTTTCTCTCTCTTCTTCTTGAACAAGCTGTCGTTTGGGCTCAGCTATCACTCCAGCTTTACCATTTTGTACTCCAGCTTTACCATTTTGTACATCTTTATTTTCTTCTTTCGATAGAACTCCATTGGTAATGCTCATGCCATCAACATCCTGGCTGATACTTTCATTTCCAGAAGTCAACCCTGCCTGTTTGGAATCAAGTACAGATAAAGCTGTCTTATGTGCACTAACAAGTTCCATAAAATCAGACCCTGAATTGAGAATGTCATCGTACTTCCCAGCCTGTGTGATCCTTCCATCTTTCATCACCTAACCCGAAGGAAAAAGTTGAATCCAATCATTCCATTGCGTTTAAGATGATAAATCCTAAAAGTATAGAAGAATAGAAATGTAATAACTCACCAATATTAAATCAGCAACTGGTAAGAATTCAACTTGATGAGTAACATAAATAACAGTTTTTTGAACTCAACAGGCCAAGCAAAACTTCTGCAATTGCAATTGACTCAAACAAAATAACTCGTTATGAGGCAAGTGCCAATATCATGCTATGCCTGCGTAACGAAAAGAAAGCAGAAAAATGGACAAAGTTATGTGAGTAAAAACAATCACGGTCCTTGACCATCATGCACGCAGTTGGGAATTTAGAAGAGAGAATACTTACCTTATATAGATCCACACCACCATCACACGTGAGCCTTACAGGATCGCTCAAATAGATAGATACGTCACATCTTGGTTAGAAGAGCTCGTGCTATCGTCATTCTCTGTTTCTGTCAACCACTGCAGATTGATACCGCGGGCCTGCAAGAATGGAGGATTTCCAAGTCCTTCTTCAGCGAACATGCCTCCAATATCCTTTTCATACCTTTCTTTGTCCATACTCGTGCCAAAAATGATGGGTTCTCAACTTTCAATTCTTGCACTTCTTTTGGTTCCAAGGCCGGAACATGAGCAACACATAGGCACCTTTTTCCACATAACTTCAAGTAGATATCTTGGGCACGCTCTCCAAAATGCAAAGGACAGGTAAGCTCGACTTACCCTGATCCACAGTAAACCACATACAGCAACCCTCATACCATGGAAAACTTTAAAATTAATGTCTTTTAGGGTTGGATTTGGAGAAGACAAGTCCCACGAGAAATTCCCATCACCTATTTCTACTGCTGTGTCAGAACTACCTCTAGGAATCTTCTCTATAACATCAGACTGCAAGTCATCGAGACGTAGGAAAGATGCAATTCTGTCGAGGGAAACCTTGGTTTGAACCATCATAGAAATTGTGTCAGGAAGATTATAGATTGGCTGCTGAAGAATCCTAAATGTGGCAAGTGCGGACAAGATTTTCCCTGACTCAAGTGGGATTCCCAAAAGCACACAAGTACCAAAAGTGGACACAGACACTAAAGTAGGAGCAGCCCAGAAGACAAAACCGACAATTGCTGAAGTGTAAACAAATTTCTTCAACCATCCTGTCTCAGTGTTTCGGAGCTCAATAATCTTAGACAAAAACTTCATTTCCCATGCCTGCAGCTTCAGGATTCTCATATTCCTTAATATCTCAGATGTTGCTTTCATTCTTTTGTCTTTAGATTCCATTAACTTCTCCTGAAATCTCTCCTGTAGTCTCCCTAATGGATAGTTCAACAACATGACAATAATAGTTGCAAGCAAAGCTGCAACTGCTGCAAGCCCAAGATTTTTATACAATATAAATAAGGCCAAACTAACTTGGATGATTACCAGCCAAGGATCATGCATGTACCCGCTAAAGTCACCAATTCGCCCTGCATCAACTGTCATAAAATTGATGATCTCCCCACTAGTGTGGCCTTGCTTTGACTGGCATGAAATGGTTAAGCCTTTGTTGTAGATCATAGCCATAAGTACTCCCCACTAGTGTGGCCTTGCTTTGACTGGCATGAAATGGTTAAGCCTTTGTTGTAGATCATAGCCATAAGTACTGAGCGCATCCTAATTCCAATTCGCTGCAACCAAAAGAACCAGTGCCTCTGTGAGAGGCACTCTACAACCTTCCCAATAAAAAAGGCAGAAGCTAAAATATATCCCTGATTTTTATACTGCCCTCGCCCATTGAGGCATTGAACAAACGCATCTATAAGGTATGGACCGACATAGGAAGCCGCTGTGTACAGCAGCGCAAGAAAAGCTGTATACAGAATTTCTTTCCAAACTGATGAGAACAGTGCCTTCACAAGCTTAAATGTAGTAACTCCACTAGTGGCACCACTATATGACTCGAGTTTATTTTTGAAAACTGGAAAAGACCCAACTGCACTATCCACACTATGAAGTTGAGGAACATCTTCAATGTCTATGGATTTCTTATTACCAACAGCAATTAGGGAACCCATCCAAGAGAAGGTAAGAAAGCTGAAAATACCAGCATTTGAGTAAGGAGTTACAAAATCACCTCCCCTAGACTTGGTTGAATCTAAATTATTACCATCTAATAGAGGTTCTTCAAGAAGTGTATATTCACCCTTAATTTTCAAGAACCCCACAAAACAAAGAAACAAACCAGTGAAGACAGAGACTGCATCTGATACTAAATAGTGAACTTGGGAGGACACATGTTCATGTTTTCCATAAAGAAAAATGTCCACGACAAGACAATAACAAGAAATTGAAAAATAAACGCCCCACCAAACTCTCAATAGAAATAGGAACTTAATATCAGGTAAAATAAAAAATTGGGTATGCAAATAGACAGAAAGTGCACCCCAAGAGATTGCTCTAAGCGCGAAATCCGAAAGGGTAACTATTTCATCATCAGACCAACCACTCCTATACCAATAGAAGTAGCTCAATAAGCACCAGACAAAACTGGACACCGAAACGCCCAGACAACAGAACAGAGCGAGTTTGTAACACAATGCCCTCTTGGTATTATCAAACCTCTGTTTAATATCTTCACTACCACCCACACTAAGTTTCTTAAAAACAAACGTGACTAATAACACAAATAACAAAAGTAAGTGTAAAGAGCCAGAAAACCCGCGGAGGAAAATGGGTTTGAGGAGAAAATCAGTACCTGAAAACATTATTGAAGGTGAGTTTGAAAGAAAGATACTATCGTATTCCTTATTGAATAAGCGAGTTCCACCTTTGAGAGGTTTTTGGGTTCACTCATATACATATATAGAATCGAGTTTTTGAAGCAGAAGATAAAATACAGAGCGACAGAGGTCAAAGATGCAATCCTTGAGGCGAGGAAACGTGGAGGACAAGACTTGGGAGACGGAGAAATTGAATTAGAAAAATTTTTATTTTGTTAACTTTTTTCTTGGGAGACGGAGATAGGCACTAACGAGGTGCAAAATCAGACAAAAGCAATTAAAGAAAAGATGGGCGTTTGTTTCCAGGAAACTTGCAACCATTTTCCCGGAAAATAGATTTTTTTTTTTTTTTTTTCTTGGTTTCCCTCGAATAGGACTCCCGGTAGTATACTTTTTGGCAACTGCCAACTAACTATGATGACGATTTTTTTTTTTTTTTTTTTTTTTTTTTAATCTTGGTTTCCCTCGAATAGGACTCCCGGTAGTATACTTTTTGGCAACTACCAACTAACTCGGCACAAAATCGCTATCAAAATCGTAAGTCTACTCGCCAACGATTCTCCCTCGATTTTTCTTACTTTTTTTTTTTTTTTAATTACATTAGGGGTAGTTTTTCAACTCTAATCAAAATACTAAACCTACTTTAAAAGCTGGTATCTAGTGTATTTTAAAAAAATTTAATACACTTATTAAAACTCTAAAGGTTTAATCATATAAAAAAATAAACTTTTGAGTTTTATTTTTCAAATTTGGCCAATCTTTTAATTTTATTAATTTATACCATGTATTTATTTTTTTTTATTAATGCAATTCCTAAAGCCAATAAATCTACTTAGAAGATATAAATTACTTGCCAAGGTCTTTGAAGAATTCGTTAGCTACAAAACTATATCAGATTCTTTTAAGTTTGCAGTGGAATAGAAATAAAATTGTCTAAATAATCAAATTTTTAATTTAGAGATTCTGAACTACTATGATTCTACACAGAGATTATAATAAAAATAAATTAAAATAGACAAATTTGTCAAATTCGTTAAAATAATTCAGACTTTTTTAGTGATTTCACCGATGCTAAACCTACTCTAGCAGCTGTTATTAATTTTCTTTTTCCGGTATGAAATTATGATGGCTGGATTTTTTTAATATGAAGGGAAGGGTCGTAGGAAATGTAGAAAATGACGCGTGATCGACAAAATATGATGACGATAGCAATGATATATAGTAATTATATCATATGACTTTAGCACTTATAGTAATTATAAATATTGAAAATCTAACTCGTGTTTAGATTCATTAATTAACCTATTTTGAAAAGATCAATTTCACAAAATTGAATTAGAAGAATTTTTATTTTGTTAATTTTTTTTTTTTTACATTTAGAAATAACATCATTTATAAAAAAAATAATTTTAAAATTTTGAAAATCATGTCAATTTAAGCTTGATTTCATAAGAATGTACTTTTTTTAGGAATAACTAGTTGTATCATACACGCCTTCCACGGTGTTTGTAATCATCAATTTTTAATAGTTGCAAATAAATATAATTTAATATGTATATAATTTTTTTATTTTTATTGTAAATTATCTATACTACGTATTATTGTCATTATATCGACCAATTTCATTCTTTTAATTACTTCAAAATTTGATAAAATTCGAGAGCGAGTTTTCCATCTCCAAATTATTATAAACAATTTATATTATTAAAAATTTAAGAGTTTTCACAGAATAGAAAAAAAAAAAAAAAAAAAAAAAAAAAGACATTTATCATCCTATTTTGAACTCTCTTATAAACTTTTCAAGAGAAAAAAGTTTAGAACAATATTGCAAAAATATTTTTTTATCTTTCTATTTAAAAAAAATCAGTTTTTACTCATAAAATCAATTTCTTATATCAAGATTATCTTAAATAGAAGATTTCAATTTTTATACGTGTATTTCTTATTCTTATGATAATATCATTATTAATTTACTCCCATTATTTTCTTTATTAATGAATTGCCATTTTTATATTAAAAAGAAAAAAAAATATTTTATGAAATAATAAAAATTTCATAATTATATCATAAAGATTTCATATGTAGTCATGTGTGAAAAGAACAATATTTAAATATTATTATATTTGACAATTCAAAAGTTTATGAAAAGTAAATTATTTATCACCTAATTTTTCTCAAATCTCTCACTCTCAAACATTTAAATTTAATTAATTAAATTTTTTTATCTATACATATTATACACTGTCCATATTTATAAGTATGAGAAATCAATATTAAGGCATTATAATGATTAGTAATTAATTATTTTTTTAGAGCATCATTTATATATTTTGGTTTTTTTTTTTCTTTTTATACCTTTTTACTAGAACACCACCATGAGGCAACATAATTAATTTTATGGCTGCTTTTTTTTGAGAAAAAATTATTTCAATATACTGTATTGGTTTGCTAATGGAAGTGATTATATCATATATAGTTTTATAAGTATATATATTTCTACGTCATTTCTATTTTCTATTTTATATAAACAATAAATTTTATAATAATCTCTGTTAATAAATAATAATAAATTATATTTATTTGTAAAATAAATTATTGTGAAAAATATTATAACCAACTAAATAATAATAAATTATATTTATTTTTGTAAAATAAATTATTTATAAAAATAATTATAACCAATTAAATTTAAAATTTTTTAAAAACAATAATGAAACATATTATATTCTTATTATAATTAATATATATTTTATATCAGGGACGGAGTCGGACTCCAAAATTAAAGGTCCATAGAAAAATTTTTAAAATTAAAGGGGCCAAAAGTAAAGATTTTTTGTTTGATTGTTTTGTAGAGAAAATTTGTTTTTTAAAAAAATTGGAGTCCACCCATGATCCTTGCAGTTTCCCTTCCATCTATCAATCAAAATTAAATTATATTTATTTTTTCAATTAATAAAATTAAAATTTTAAAATATTATATTCTTATTTTCAATCAATAAAATTAAAAAATTAAAAATATTATATTCTTACAATATTTAGTATATATATAAATTTTATATAGTATATAATTTTTATTTTATCCAATAATTTAGATTTAAATAAAAAACTAATATGATGAATCAAAAATAAATTAGCTTTATTTTCTCAACCAATCAAATTAAAATCTTTAATAATATTTTTATCAATCCATTAACTTAGTAGGGGTATTCTTAAAACTCCAATTCTCCCGTCCATTCCCATATATATATATTTTTCTTAGTAGTAACTTTTATTAGTGAGTTGTTTAACAACATTTAAAAATCATGAAAAACTCTTTTTTTTCTTCACATCGCCTTTCGTCTTGATGTGTAATTGTGTTCTAATAAAATGGTAATTTTCAATTTTGTTTGGGTAAAATTAAAATGTTACTACGATGATATTATTATTATAATAACACTGCAATTTAAATAGACTTATATAACAGAATTATAAATTGAATTTATAAAACTCATTAAAGATTGGAAATAGCTGTGGTTACGAATTGATGCTATTGAAGAACATTGGTAGGACAGAAGTGAGCTTGTAGCTTACTTCCAAGTTCAAAATTCTCCTTTTGATAAGGACAACTACTTTTGATTCCTTGGGCTCCAAGCCCCAAATAAATTAAAATATGGGAAAAGTCTTCTCTATAGACTGTAGTCTATTTTATTCTCTAATAATTAGAGTATAAATTTCAAAGCTCGTGTTTGACTTATTAACAAATAATGCAATCCATCATTCCACTTTCACTTTGCACCGCTTGCTTGCAAATTCTCGAAAAATTGAAAACCACATCGATTGAAATTTCCAAGGTAAAGAAACAACGGGTTAATAAAGAAAGAACGGGTTGATTTGAATAAAAATTGTTCAGATAAATAGGAATAAGTTTGAGCGTTTAATAATTTTAAATGGAAATTTTTTTATTGAAAGACGATTCACCTTTCTGCGATAGTGCGAATAAAATTATGCTTAATACAATAAACTAGAGAAATATATATATATAGAGAGAGAGAAAAAATATATATATATAAAAGATTTATAACAAATAACAACAATTTCCATATAAAAACAAATATATATTCATAAAATTTACAAATCGCTTTCACTTTTTGGAAAGGAAAAGGAAAGAAAGGAAAAGCCTTAAACAATGACGATGACGTACCAATAGAATTGTGGATGAATTATTCTTGAAAAATTGAAAAAAAAAAAAAATTGAAGCTAGGGGCAGTGACCACCAGCCGGTCACTCCTTCGTCGTTGTTGACCAATCAAATTGATTAATTCGGCAATTAACTACTAATCTGATCTGATTTGATTTAATTTTTCAATAAATCGAAAACGGAGTTTAAAATAAAAGGAGAAAATTTATAATTACGTGAATTAAAAAAAGGAGAAAATTTATAATTACGTGAATTAAACGGAGCAATTGGTTAAATTGCATGGGCAGTTTTTGAAAGGAAATGGATTTAAATCTTAGAATACTAAGTTTTTTTCTTTTTTTTTTTAAATAATAACGAGAAAAAATTATAGTAAATAGAATATAAGTTTAAAGATTAAAAATAAATAGTTTAACTTTAACAAATATATTCTATAATTATGACAGCTTATTTTGCAAGTATACGAATCGCTACAAGTAATATATGATGAGTAAGATATCATTCCCACGAGGATTTTAATCCAAGTACCAAAATTATGTTATCTCTTTATTATTTAGACGATAATTAGGAGAATTGTTTTATAAATGTAAAATAAACAAGAGTCAAGTAAACAAAAATTGATTAAAAGAAATCAAGGAATTGAAACTATTAGGGGTTTTGATTTCACTTAATTGAAACTTTCACTTAATCCTATCCCTAATTTATTTGCATTCCTAGTTCATTGGATCAATTTAAATCTTTTCAATGTAGGCAGAAACAACTCTGACAGTTCAACCTAACAAGCTTCCGCATGTGTTGCTAGCTATTTAATTCCATTTAATTAGCCTATATTTCCAATAGCGCAATCAAATCATCGCAATCTAAACTCAATTCAGTTTATGTAGTTGTTCATCGAATTCTAGCAATTTAAGGTGATCAAATTCATCACACAACAACCCCCCATCGCAGTCAAACCATATAGCTTCCGCACTCTACAGTATTAATTCTCATCCTGGTTTTCTACTTAACCTTTTCCTTAATTAAACGTCTTGCCTTATCACCGATAGTCGCATCACATTGAATCAAATCCAACTCTAGGAGAAAACAAACTTCTCGCCTAGAACGTACTGTAACCCTTCCAATCCAATAAAGCTATCAACTTGAACTCACGGAAAAATACACCGTCTACGATTGCAGCTAACATTGCGACAGACGCAGATTAAGCTAGCATTAAACCCCTGAGTAACTCACCCAGAATCTCAATCTACACCCAATAGTACTTAAAACTCAACACCCATAACGCTTCGAATCACATACTTCCCATCACATCAATGAAAGATAATGAAGAAATAAACAAGATAGAGTTTAGATAATAAGAACTAGTGATCGTAATTGCTTGGTGGTTTCCTTTGAAGACTTTGCACAACTCTGATATAACAACTCTTGAATACTTAACTTCTAAAAATAAAACTATATACAAGCTATAAAATGAGAGAAAGATGTAGAGTGGAGTGTAGTGTAATGTGTGGGATTAAGTTGGCAATCTTGACTTAGTTTAGGATTCCCCACTGTAGCACGGCGTGCTGATTAGCACGGTCTGGGCGTGCGCGCCTTTGGAAGTCTTATGTAATAACAGTACGGGCGTGCTGATTAGCACGGGCACTGTAGCACAGGCGTGCTTAATGAATTTTTACCTCATTTTTATCATTTTCTTGCAAAAACCCTGCATTTTTCCTCAAAATCAAGCGATTTTTCCTAAATGCAGTGAGTTGTGTTTTCAAGGAAGAGTTTCAAGGAAACTTTTAAATAAAAACATATCAATATTACATAAAAACTAATTTAAATAAATTAAAAGTAATAGAAATTTTAATCAAAATTACAATAAACTTATTATTTATGTACTTATTTACTTAATTGATTAATCTATTGAATGAAAGATTATTGTGATGGTAAAAAATCAGATTTAGGGTTATAACATCAATGGAAGGAAGAAGATGGAGGTGGACAGATAGATAATAAGACACAATATGATATTTTTAGATTTTTTTATTTTTTTATTTTTTTATTCATGGATATGTTCAGCGATTGGATTGAATTGACTTTAAAATAAATTTTTTGGAGTAAATTCATCCAACGGTTCATTTTGATTTAAATTTTTTGGAGTAAATTCATCCAACGGTTCATTTTGATTTAAAAGAATATATATCATATGAAGTCCAGAAGTAAATTTCGTTATTAATAAAATAAATCACACTGTTAAAATTTTCTTATAGAAAATTATTTTCAATTTTAAACATATAAATATTTGGTTTTTAGTTTTAAATTACATAATTCTTTGATATTAAAATGACAAAATTTAAAACAAGCGATGGAGGAATTGAACAGCTTTTCCAATAAAAAAGGCAGAAGCTAAAACGTATCCCTGATCTTTAAACTGCCCTTGCCCATTGAGGCGTTAAACAAATGAATCTATAAGGTATGGACCAACATAAGCAGCTGTTGTGTACAGCAGTCCAAGAAAATCTGCATTCAGAATTTCTTTCCAAGCTGTGAAGAACAATGCCTTCACAATCTTAAAGGTAGTAACTCCACTACCCGACTCAAATTTATTTTTGAAAACTGGAAACGACTCCACTACACTATCCACACCATGAAGTTGAGGGACATCTTCAAGGTCTATTGTTTTCGTCTTGCCAACAGCTATTAGGGAACCAATCCAAGAGAATGTAAGAATGCTGAAAATTCCAGCATCAGAGTGGTATATAAATCACATAGAATATGACCTTGTTTGAAATCGAATTTGCTGACGCTTTAAGATTTATCATCAACAAGACGTTCTTCAGGAAGTGTCTATATCACACTTAATATTATAGAGATACAAGATACAACCAGTGAGAGACCGCAATTCTATACTAAATAGTGAAACCTTTGTACACGTGTTCCATGTCTTTTTTATAAATAACACATCCCACAGCAAGACAATAACCAAGAAAATTTTAAAAAATGAAAGTCACCTGAATCTTAATGGAAAGGGATAATAAATATATAGGATGAATTAAGAATTAGGTATAGTAATTATATATTAGAGTGTTTTCAAATAGATATCAGAGAGAGGAGAACTTAGTTCGTGCTGCAAGACTAACTATTCTTATACCAAAAGAAATAGTTTCAAATAGTTCAATAAACACCAGACAAAATTGAACGCCGTAACACCCCAAAGAACAGAATAAAATGAGTTTATAATCCAATATCCTCTTGTTATTCTCAAACCTCTCTTTAAAATCTCTCCTGTCTCCCACTTAAGTGTCTTAAAGACAAACGAGACTAATAACACAATATCAGGTGTAAAGAACCAAAAACACTCGCAAAGTGTGCTTGTGTTATGCACACGACACGGTTGATTTCTGTTGAATCTCTGCTTTTCTTTTCCTCTGTGCTTGTGTTATGCACACGACACGGTTGATTTCTGTTGAATCTCTGCTTTTCTTTTCCTCTGTGCTTGTGTTATGCACACGACACGGTTGATTTCTGTTGAATCTCTGCTTTTCTTTTCCTCTGTGCTTGTGTTATGCACACGACACGGTTGTTCATGCCAACAGCTGGACGCCTAGAGGTATGCAGGTGAGATTTGCACATAATTCTGTCTTTTTCATGAATCAATTCACCAAATGTATAGAAATAGAAATCAATAAATAATTCTGGAATTAAAATTTTCTTTCGGCTTCATTCTTCTTTTATTTCATTGATAAAAAATTACGAAGACGAACTGCTATCATTAACATTAGCATTATAAATATACAAATTAGCCTCTGAAAACGACAATGCTCATGCAGAACACAACAGCCCCTCATGTTTTATTTGCATGGGCAGAAACACCTACAGAAGCCATGTGTAATTTATAATTGTATAACATTTAAGATAATTGCATAAAGATCAAGACAACTATTAAACAATTTCAATTTGTTTTAAATAAATTGTAATAAACTAAATTATTCTTTTATCAATTTTCTAAAAATTCCTCCATCTTTAACTAAGGAGACATTTTAGTTCACCTGATTTATGCATACTAATGACACAGAAGATACAAGAAACAAAACTAGATGCAATAAACAAGAAAAGCCACAGGGTATATATTTCATATTAGAAGAGTTCATTTTCTCCATATAATCCAAGAAACTGCACCTTAATCAGTATAAAATTTTAGTAAAACTGATTACAATAAAACACTCTAATCCTTGATTTGGTTGCCTAAACAACTGAATTCAAACATGACAATTTCGTCATTGTCAAGAAAGGTGAACAGTGGTTTGTGAAGAATCACTATTTATTTCAGTTAACTTCTGAAAACTTGAGTTTGATCTTGCTGAATATTCTGCTACAAGTTGTGCAAATGACGATGACTTGTTTTCGAGTAACCTAGCTGGAGAGTCATATTCCTCCACAAGTCCTGCCCAATGATTATGAAACTATAAGAGCATTGTGCAACATATATAATTTAAATTACACTACCAAATTTAATAATTCTATAATTTGCTGGAATTCTATTAAATTACAGCAACATGCTTACCATGACTTAGAACCAGAACCATGTCGCTATCAAAAACAGAAGTTATTCGATGTGCAATGGTTATAACTGTAGAGTCAAAGAAGTGTTGCCTAATAGTTTGCTGAATTAAATTATCAGTAGCTGTATCAACCGAGGCAGTAGCTTCATCAAGAACCAAGACCTTACTCTTCTTCAGTAGCACTTGCCCGAGACAGACTAGCTGCCTTTGACCCATGCTCCAGTTCTCTCCATTCTCAGTGACTGCAGCACCGATATGATCATTCACAATGTAAATCTATGCCAGAAAGTTAAAAAGATTCGCATTCAACTACATACTGTAGTGAGAACAACATACCCGTTGAATCTAGCTTTTCCTCCTTCTTCCTAACCTCATCTCCAAGTTGGCACTTATCAAGAGCCTGGAACAATTCAATATGTTTTAGCATGCATGTCATTAGAAATTATTTGATTTAGAAACAAAATATCAAATAAAGAATCTTTTTATTAATATTTAGAATTGAAACAACCTACCTCCCAAATTTGATCATCTGTGTACTCTTCAAGAGGGTCCAGGTTACTCTGATCCCCTTCGAACATGATAGGACTCCTTGAGGAATACATGATATATATCTTGATCGCAAGTCTGCAAACCAATCGATGAGGAATAGTTGAATGGCAATCTATCAACAATCTGAACGCAGCTGCAGTTCAACAATCCGGAAAAATTGTTTGGATAGAGTTGATATACCGATGCACTGTTCTTCTATCCAGTTTTTTTCCTCCTTGGGAAGAAGTACTATGTGAGACCTTGCAACACGAGTGGCAATTTGAGGGGTAAAACACGAGTGGCATATGAGGGGTATACCGAACCTATATTAAATCACTTACATTAATATCATATGCCGTACATGATTCAGAATCATCAATTGAATTAATCAAGTTCCATTACCTGCAAATTACAAATATCTACTTCTCCATGTGATGGCCAAGAAGGGTCTGGCCGGTTTTCATCTACTACAAGAGGAGGCTCACTAGGAGTAGACATGTATTGGAGTATTCTCTCTACTGATATGATTTTATTTTCTAGATTGCAAATATTCCATATCACCGTAGCTTGCAGCGCGTTTAGATTGAGTCCATATGTCACAGCTAAACCGGCAATGGCTTTGAAAATGGAAAAACAAAAGGAAAATGTGAATTTCAAGCTCATCAAATTTTCTCAAAGAGAAGAATGATGAATAGCTATATGAGACAGGAGCTACAAACCTGGATTAATTCCCTCCGGAAAAGAGATTAAGAAAAACAAAGAGAAGAAACAAAGAAGAGGCAATGTGAGAGAAGAGAATAATTCAAGCGTTGAGGAAGCAAAGCCATTCCATTGCACTAGCAACATGAAAATGCAGGTCGAGAATATGCATCAGTCAGGTTCATATTTGTTTCTTGGAATCTTGATTGGTGATCAAAGCTTCTGACAGTTGTCGATCCTGAAATTGTTTCGGCGAAATGTTGGATAACTGGGGCTTTACACACTCCAACCAATCGTGAAAGCTCTCTTGCAGATGGGAGATAGTATTGCTGCAAAACAAAAAAATTGTGAGGACTCTGTCTCTGAATGGTAAATGATGATAGTCAATATTCATAAAAAGTTGAAAGTTTAACTACATTGAATTGTATACAACTAAGACTTATTGTGTTCTCTAATTTCTTTATTTTAAGCATATTAAAGGAAATTTTAAATGGGAATAACCAGACAATAAAAAGCGATGAAAATAAAAAAGCGGATGGCATAAGAAACCAAGGAGTTGTATTAGCAGAGCATCACGGCAGAGGAATTTTTTAAACATATAAGCTAGTGTCTTTAAGAGGTATCTGAGTATTACCTGGTACTAGATGCTAGGCAAGCAATTGCAGGGATAAAGAAATTTTAAAAACTTGCCCAAGCTACCCTTGTAGACATACAGCAATGTTCCCAAAAGCTGGCATCACCTTGAAATTGCAAAACGGGAACCGACTTAGATAGAATTTGCATATCGGAACGTGCGCTTTGAGAGTCTGTAGAAGCTATTAGGGCAAAAATATAAATAACTGGAGACCTAATATTTTTCTGGTTTAAATTGGAATTTAAAGGGACATAAAGATGGAATGAAAAAAAGACTAGAATTGTGGATAAAGTCTTCAAATTTAATTAATTGGGAAGAGAATAATATGAAAAAAAGTTTTCTTACTCTGTTTTTAGGATGTTCGCCCAACTCGGAGTTGCAAATCAAGTAAGGACATGGAGCAACGGAAATGGCAAAATGCAAATTTTATTAAATAGCAATAGGTTCTGTCTTGTACCCAGGCGCTTGTTCAAACAAACTGTGGCTCTGGGCGAGGAATGCACAAGAGAACTTCCAACAAGAACTTCCAACAGCCAAAGCTACATAGACGATTATTAATTTGAACCCACTAACAACAGGTTCCACATCCTTTGACAACGGAGTTGCCCAAGCCATCCAATAGTTGCTACCAATTTGGAGGACCTGAAAGAGAATCTGTGCCAGCAAAAAAAAGGGCACCACGGCTCCTCCATATGCAGTTGTCAGATATTTCCAGTATACATGGAATCCAACTTTACCTTTTTCTCTCTCTTCTTCTTGAACAAGCTGTCGTTTGGGCTCAGCTATCACTCCAGCTTTACCATTTTGTACATCTTTATTTTCTTCTTTCGATAGAACTCCATTGGTAATGCTCATGCCATCAACATCCTGGCTGATACTTTCATTTCCAGAAGTCAACCCTGCCTGTTTGGAATCAAGTACAGATAAAGCTGTCTTATGTGCACTAACAAGTTCCATAAAATCAGACCCTGAATTGAGAATGTCATCGTACTTAATTGAGAATGTCATCGTACTTCCCAGCCTGTGTGATCCTTCCATCTTTCATCACCTAACCCGAAGGAAAAAGTTGAATCCAATCATTCCATTGCGTTTAAGATGATAAATCCTAAAAGTATAGAAGAATAGAAATGTAATAACTCACCAATATTAAATCAGCAACTGGTAAGAATTCAACTTGATGAGTAACATAAATAACAGTACGGTCAAACAGGCCAAGCAAAACTTCCTGCAATGCAGATGATCAAACAAATATTACTTCAGGAGAAGTGCCATTGTCTTATTGTCATTGCGGTTTAAAAAAAACAAGAAAAATGGCCACAAAGTATTGTGACTAAAAAACAATCCACGGCCGTGCAACCATGCCAGTTGGAATTTAGAAGAAAATAACTTACCTTAAATAGATGAATTTTCCGGTATGAGCATCAAACTGCGCTTAAAGGGATCGTCAAATAGATAGATATCAGCATCTTGTAGAGACTCGTTGCTATTTGTATTCTCTGTTCTTTCCAAACCACTCAGAATTGATACCCCTCTCAACCTATAACTGTGGGTCACGCATGAGAGGATTTCCAGGTCGCTTCTTCAGAGAACATGCCTCCAATTATCCTTTCTTACCTTTCTTTTGTCCATCTCCGTTGCCAATAATATGTTCTCTTTCAATCTTGCCACTCTGTAATCCAAGGCAACTGACAACATAGGCCTTTTTTCCCACATAGCTATAAGTGTCCCCGATATTCTTGGGCCACCTCTCCAAAATAGCAGGACAGTAAGCTCGACTTGCCTGAATCCAACAAAGTACCACATACAGCCAAACCCTTCATACCATGGTACAGCAACCCTCATACCATGGAAAACTTTAAAATTAATGTCTTTTAGGGTTGGATTTGGAGAAGACAAGTCCCACGAGAAATTCCCATCACCTATTTCTACTGCTGTGTCAGAACTACCTCTAGGAATCTTCTCTATAACATCAGACTGCAAGTCATCGAGACGTAGGAAAGATGCAATTCTGTCGAGGGAAACCTTGGTTTGAACCATCATAGAAATTGTGTCAGGAAGATTATAGATTGGCTGCTGAAGAATCCTAAATGTGGCAAGTGCGGACAAGATTTTCCCTGACTCAAGTGGGATTCCCAAAAGCACACAAGTACCAAAAGTGGACACAGACACTAAAGTAGGAGCAGCCCAGAAGACAAAACCGACAATTGCTGAAGTGTAAACAAATTTCTTCAACCATCCTGTCTCAGTGTTTCGGAGCTCAATAATCTTAGACAAAAACTTCATTTCCCATGCCTGCAGCTTCAGGATTCTCATATTCCTTAATATCTCAGATGTTGCTTTCATTCTTTTGTCTTTAGATTCCATTAACTTCTCCTGAAATCTCTCCTGTAGTCTCCCTAATGGATAGTTCAACAACATGACAATAATAGTTGCAAGCAAAGCTGCAACTGCTGCAAGCCCAAGATTTTTATACAATATAAATAAGGCCAAACTAACTTGGATGATTACCAGCCAAGGATCATGCATGTACCCGCTAAAGTCACCAATTCGCCCTGCATCAACTGTCATAAAATTGATGATCTCCCCACTAGTGTGGCCTTGCTTTGACTGGCATGAAATGGTTAAGCCTTTGTTGTAGCTCCCCACTAGTGTGGCCTTGCTTTGACTGGCATGAAATGGTTAAGCCTTTGTTGTAGATCATAGCCATAAGTACTGAGCGCATCCTAATTCCAATTCGCTGCAACCAAAAGAACCAGTGCCTCTGTGAGAGGCACTCTACAACCTTCCCAATAAAAAAGGCAGAAGCTAAAATATATCCCTGATTTTTATACTGCCCTCGCCCATTGAGGCATTGAACAAACGCATCTATAAGGTATGGACCGACATAGGAAGCCGCTGTGTACAGCAGCGCAAGAAAAGCTGTATACAGAATTTCTTTCCAAACTGATGAGAACAGTGCCTTCACAAGCTTAAATGTAGTAACTCCACTAGTGGCACCACTATATGACTCGAGTTTATTTTTGAAAACTGGAAAAGACCCAACTGCACTATCCACACTATGAAGTTGAGGAACATCTTCAATGTCTATGGATTTCTTATTACCAACAGCAATTAGGGAACCCATCCAAGAGAAGGTAAGAAAGCTGAAAATACCAGCATTTGAGTAAGGAGTTACAAAATCACCTCCCCTAGACTTGGTTGAATCTAAATTATTACCATCTAATAGAGGTTCTTCAAGAAGTGTATATTCACCCTTAATTTTCAAGAACCCCACAAAACAAAGAAACAAACCAGTGAAGACAGAGACTGCATCTGATACTAAATAGTGAACTTGGGAGGACACATGTTCATGTTTTCCATAAAGAAAAATGTCCACGACAAGACAATAACAAGAAATTGAAAAATAAACGCCCCACCAAACTCTCAATAGAAATAGGAACTTAATATCAGGTAAAATAAAAAATTGGGTATGCAAATAGACAGAAAGTGCACCCCAAGAGATTGCTCTAAGCGCGAAATCCGAAAGGGTAACTATTTCATCATCAGACCAACCACTCCTATACCAATAGAAGTAGCTCAATAAGCACCAGACAAAACTGGACACCGAAACGCCCAGACAACAGAACAGAGCGAGTTTGTAACACAATGCCCTCTTGGTATTATCAAACCTCTGTTTAATATCTTCACTACCACCCACACTAAGTTTCTTAAAAACAAACGTGACTAATAACACAAATAACAAAAGTAAGTGTAAAGAGCCAGAAAACCCGCGGAGGAAAATGGGTTTGAGGAGAAAATCAGTACCTGAAAACATTATTGAAGGTGAGTTTGAAAGAAAGATACTATCGTATTCCTTATTGAATAAGCGAGTTCCACCTTTGAGAGGTTTTTGGGTTCACTCATATACATATATAGAATCGAGTTTTTGAAGCAGAAGATAAAATACAGAGCGACAGAGGTCAAAGATGCAATCCTTGAGGCGAGGAAACGTGGAGGACAAGACTTGGGAGACGGAGAAATTGAATTAGACTTGGGAGACGGAGATAGGCACTAACGAGGTGCAAAATCAGACAAAAGCAATTAAAGAAAAGATGGGCGTTTGTTTCCAGGAAACTTGCAACCATTTTCCCGGAAAATAGATTTTTTTTTTTTTTTTTTCTTGGTTTCCCTCGAATAGGACTCCCGGTAGTATACTTTTTGGCAACTGCCAACTAACTATGATGACGACAGCAACGATCTATAGTAATTATATCATATGACGTTAGCACTTATAGTAATTATAAATATTGAAATCTAACTCGTGTTTAGATTCATTAATTAACCTATTTTGAAAAGATCAATTTCACAAATTTGAATTGGAAGAATTTTTATTTTGTTAATTTTTTTACATTTAGAAAAAACATCATTTATAAAAAAAATAATTTTAAAATTTTGAAAATCATGTCAATTTAAGCTTGATTTCGTAAGAATTTACTTTTTTTGGGAATAATTAATTTTTTCCTATATGCGTTCCACGTTGTTTGTAATCATATTTTAAATAGTTGCAAATAAATATAATTTAATTTTTATATAAATTTTTTAATTTTTTATTATAAATTATCTATACTACGTGTAATTGTTATTATATCGATCAATTTCATTCTTTTAATTACTTCAAAATTTGATAAAATTCAAGAGCGAGTTTTCTATCTCCAAATTATTATAAACAATTTATATTATTAAAAATTTAAGAGCTTTCACAAAATAGGAAAAAAAAACATTTATCGTTCTATTTTGAACTTTTTTTATAAATTTTTCTAGAGAACAAAATTTAGAACCATATTGCAAAAATAATTTTTTTATCTTTCTATTTAAAAAAAAAAATCAATTTTTTCTCATAAAATCAATTTCTTATGTTAAGATCATCTTAAATAGAAGATTTTAATTTTTATACGTGTATTTCTTATTCTTATGATAATATCATTATTAATTTACTCTCATTATTTTCTTTATTAATGAATTGACATTTTTATATTAAAAAGAAAAAATATTTTACGAAATAATAAAAATTCCATAATTATATCATATGTTAGGGAAAGAACATATTTAAAATATTAAAATATTATTATATTTGAAAATCAAATTTTTATGAAAATAAAATTATTTATCATCTAATTTAAATTTTTTATAACATTTAAATTTAATTAATTGATATCAAAACATTTAAATTTCAATTATTTAATTACTTTATCTAATATAATATTTATTAAATTGTCGCTTATTACCTAACAAGTAATTGAGAAATCAATATTAAATTACTAAAGTATGAGAAATCAATATTAAGTATTATGCTGATTAGTATATTAATTATTTTTTTAGAGCATCATTTATAATTTTGGTTTTTTTTTTTTTTACTTTTTATTAAGCCACCAATGAGCACATAATTAATTTTATGGCTGCTTTTTTTGAGAAAAAATTATTTCAATATACTGTATGGTTTGATAATGTAACGTATTATATTATATATAGTTTTATATTATAAATATTTCTAGTGAGTTCTATTTTTTATTTTATATCAAACAATAAATTTTATAATATATTTCTTAATAAATAATAATAAATTGCATTTATTTTTATAAAATAAATTATTTATAGAAATAATTATAACCAATCAAATTAAAAAACTTTTAAAAATAATAATGTAACATAATTATATTTTTATTAAAATTCCTATTCCCCCGTCCATTCCCATATATATATTTTTCTTAGTAGTAACTTTTATTAGCGAGTTGTTTAACAACACTTAAAAATCAAGAAAGCCCTTTTTTTTTTCTTCACGTTGACTTTCGTCATGACGTGCAATTGTATTTTAATAAAATGGTAATTTTCAATTTTGTTTGGGTAAAATTAAAATGTTACTGCAATGATATTATTATAATACTGCAATTTAAATAGACTTATATAATTATAAATAGACTTATATAATTATATATTTAACACAATTATAAATTGAATTTATAAAACTCATTAAAGATTGAAAATAGCTGTGGTTACGAATTGATGGTTTTGAAGAACGTTGGTAGGACAGAAGTGAGCTTGTAGCTTACTTCCAAGTTCAAAATTCTCCTTTTGATAAAGACAATTGCTTTTGATTCCTTAGGCTCCAAGCTCCAAATAAATTAAAATATGGGAAAAGTCTTCTCTATAGTCTATTTTATTCTCTAATAATTAGAGTATAAATTTCCAAGCTCCTCTTTGAATTATTAACAAATAATGCAATCCATCATTCCACTTTCACTTTACACCACTTGCTTGCAAATTCTCGAAAAATTGAAAACCACATCCATTGAAGTTTCCACGGTGACGAAACAACGGGTTGATAAAGAAAGAACGGGTTGATTTGAATAAAAATGGTTCAGATAAATAGGAATAAGTTCGAGTGTTTAATAATTTTAAATGGAAAATTTTCTATTGAAGGACGATTCACCTTTCTGCGATAATGCGAATAAAATTATGCTTAATATAATAAACTAGAGAAATATATATATATAGAATTATATATATTATATATATAACAATAAATAACAATTTTCCATATAAAAACAAATATATATTCATAAAATTTACAAATACGGCTATTTACAAATCGCTTTCACTTTTTGGAAAGTAAAAGGAAAGAAAGGAAAAGCCTTAAACAATGACGATGACGTACCAATAGAATTGTGGATGAATTATTCTTGAAAAATTGAAAAAAAAAAAATTGAAGCTAGGGGCAGTGACCACCAGCCGGTCACTCCTTCCGTCGTTGTTGACCAATCAAATTGATTAATTCGGTAATTAACTGCTAATCTGATATGATTTGATTTAATTTTTCAATAAACCGAAAATTGAGTTTAAAATAAAAGGAGAAAATTAAAAGGAGAAAATTTATAATTACGTGAATTAAACGGAGCAATTGGTTAAATTGCATGGGCAGTTTTTGAAAGGAAATGGATTTAAATCTTAGAATACTAAGTTTTTTTCTTTTTTTTTTTTTAAATAATAACGAGAAAAAATTATAATGAATAGAATATAAGTTTAAAGATTAAAAATAAATAGTTTAAATTTAACAAATATATTCCATAATTACTTATTATTTATGTACTTATTTACTTAATGTCACGACCCGATTCCATAGGCCGGACCGGCACTAGGGCCCAAGTAAGCTTAAGGCCCCCGAGGACCCGTTAGTAAGCCTGGAATGAAACACTACGAATTATTATCTCGGTATAAATTTCAACATTTCCAGCCGCATTGATTATGAAAATAAACCTCAATATTTTATTATTTTCTCGGCCCAAGTTTAACTTCTACAAGCATTCCATAGTTCGAGTTCATTTACAATACATCACATTCTAATATGGGCTTTACAGAATTATTTTGTCTATGGTAATTACACGACTAAATATATGTAAATCCTACAACTGCGGACGTCACTAACTGTTTGTTATACATAGTTTCTTATATATATAATTACATAGCAAAATAATTATGGAAAACTAGGGAAAACTTGCTTTTAATAACCCTGAAGGCGAAGCAAACATAGCTGTAAACTGAATTAAAGAAAACTTACTTTCTGAAAATTTAAACAAGACATTGTGAGTTTTTCTAAGGAGTAATAATTATTGTACAAACACACGCAGTCACACAAATTGTACCAATATTAATCTAGTCATCCGACTAGTTTATGCTCACGCGCCAGTCACACAAATGACATATCACCAGCAACTTACAATCATAAACATCTTTCATATAATTTACATCACATCGAAAATTGGTCAGTGGCGTCAAACCGAACCCCTGAAACCCCTGATGAGCCGTCCTCCCACATGGCTCATCCACTCACATGTGCACCAGGGAGCCAATCCCCCATTCTGGCCGACCGGTTTAATCCTCACACAACAAGTCCTCTCATTATTTTTCCAGCCTCTCTTTTCTTTCCTTTTTCTTCTTTTTTATTATTATTTTTTTTTTATTAACAGGAGGCAACCCGGTCGTCTCCATCAAATCTAGATCATCAGGTGCTAGCAACAGGAGGCCGCCCTGCGGGCTGCGATCAAATCTAGATTATCAGGTGCGCCCAATAAAGAAGCCAACCTGTGATTTCAGTATAGTCTCTCTCTTTTTTTTTTTATACCAACAGGAGGCAACCCGGTCGTCTCCATCAAATCTAGATCTTCAAGCGCTCACAACAGGAGGGCCACCCTGCGGGCTGCGATCAGGATCTAGGATTATCAGTGCGCCCATTTAAAGAAGCCAACCTGTGGTTTTCCATTATCATACAGATCATAACATATAGGTGCACAAGGGAGGCGCCGATCTCCCCATTTACCCGGCTAACGGTAATCATAATCAGGATCCATAGAAACGGTAACGGTTCTCACAAACCCATGGTGACCCACTTTCATCCCAATTGGCTAACACAAACAAGCATAGCATTATCACAACACAATTAATCAAACATTGCAATTAAATGCAAACATATTGATCAGTTGAACATCGTGATGCAATGCACAACTAGACATCCATTCTCAAATGCAATTAAATAATTAAATAAATAATATTAACAATAAACAACAACGATAAAATTAATAATAATAATAATAATAATAATAAACAATGATAATGAAAACAAATAAATAATTGAATGAATAATAATGATAATGATAAAGTAATTAAAGCACTTTAAATAATTAGAGCACTTTATTTATTATGTATCAAATTATAGAATTTGTCTAAATAAGCTTATTTATTATGTTATTAATTAAAACTGATCTATGTTAAAACTGATCTAGGTTCTATCGAAATTTCGACAGCATCTCCCCTAAAAATAGGATTATCTACCTGTTTAAATGTCACAATAACATTATATATATTTATCCATCAATACGCACAGCCCATCCGTCGGGCAATCAATCAATTTAAAACCCCATCCTCCTTCCAAAACAACAATGTCAACACTCAACCATTAATTTATAATAA